CTCTGCCTACGTACGATGACACAGCCTTGGTTTTCAGCGGGGGCTTTGGGCAACGTGGGGTTAAGTATCTTGCCCAAGGACACAACGACAGCACACATCAGTGGGAGCAGCTGGAGTAGGTCTTATGGGGGGATCAAACCCACAACCTTCATATCCAAAGGCCAATGCACTACCAACTGAGCCACTGTCGCCCTAAATTCAAGCCCTGTGCTCCTCAGAGTCCCAGCAGGAGGCCAGTCCCTGTGCTCCTCAGAGTCCCAGCAGGAGGCCAGTCCCTGTGCTCCTCAGAGTCCCAGCAGGAGGCCAGTCCCTGTGCTCCTCAGAGTCCCAGCAGGAGGCCAGTCCCTGTGCTCCTCAGAGTCCCAGCAGGAGGCCAGTCCCTGTGCTCCTCAGAGTTTGTTCATAAGGCACTAACATGTCACAGATGTACTTTGAGGCCATGGAGAGACTTGTAACAAACAGACTCTTTTCTCTGAGCCACAGAAACCAACGCAGAAACCTGAGAACTGGACTAATGTGATCGCACCACAACGTTAGCTTCATGTCTAACAATGATTCTTACATTTTAAGTTCATGTACGGTATATGTACACAATGATCCACTTCTCCAGCTTTGATGACATGTTGACTGGAGGCGGAACATCCCGTTAACTTGCGCAACCTCTGACGCTGAAGGACATCCTGACGACGAACAATGGCAGAGAACAAAGCCCAGTTCACTTTCCCAAGACTCTTCTCTCTCAAATAGCACGGCCCAAAGTAAACACTGCGTGGAATCCCCAGCTCCAGCAGCTTTTCAAACAATTATGTCTTGTATATTGCTCCGTTCACCTTCCCATCAGCTCTGTCCCAGCTGAAGAAAAGCAGTCCCATAACATGATACTGCCACCCCCATATTTGACTCTGGGGATTGTACAGTGTTAGTTATTTGTGGACTAGCCTGGTCTTATCCATCCGCACACTTCGCTCAATCATCATGTCCTGCATGTAACGTCTGGGTCTGGTACCTGTGTTTGCGATTACAATCTGTTGAATTGCATCCGACCAATCAGAGAGTGCGGGAGGCGGGTGGGCAATAAGATGGACGAACTCAGCCTGCTCATGAGAAGAAACAAGGACTTCGCCACATCCTGTGTCCTCTGCTTCACTGAGACCTGGCTAAATGAGCGGATCCCGGACTGCGCTCTGGAGCTGCAGGGCTTTGGGCTGTTTCGCGCGGATCGCCATTGTGCGCTCTCAGGGAAGAGCAGAGGCGGAGGGCTCTGTTTCTACGTCAATACAAACTGGTGTAACGATGTGACAGTGATCTCCAAGCACTGCTCTCCTGCTCTGGAATATCTTTTCATTCATTGTAAACCATATTACTCCCCGCGGGAAATTGTTTCATTCATTCTTGCCTCTGTTTACATACCGCCATGCGCGGACGCGCGCGAGGCTCAGCGCGCACTTGCAGAGCAAGTACTGTGTATGGAACGCTTATACCCGGACTCTCTGATTATTATCCTGGGGGATTTTAATAAGGGAAACTTGAGCCAGGAATTACCCAAATACAGACAGTTTATCAAATGCCCGACCAGAGAGGAGAACACTCTGGATCACTGTTACACCACCGTGCGCGGAGCTTTTCGCGCTGTTCCCAAGCCAGCCCTCGGCTTCTCAGATCACTCCATGATACATCAGGTTCCTGCTTACAGACAGAGACTAAAGCTCTCGAAACCTGCAGTGAGGAGCTCCAAAGTGTGGTCTGATGAAGCTGTGGAAGAGCTGCGCGCATGCATGGAATCTACAGACTGGGACCTTTTCAGAGCTGCCACAGACAGCTTGGATGAATATACGGACACTGTGACGTCATACATCCACTTCTGTGAGGATAGCATCATTCCAACAAGGACCAGGGTCATCTATAACAACGACAAACCCTGGTTCACTGCTAAACTCCGGCAGCTCAGGAAAGCAAAGGAGTCTGCTTTCAGGGAGGGGGACCGCAGCGGCTACAAAGCAGCTAAATATCAGTTCAGGAAAGAACTGAAAGCAGCCAAGTCCCGGCACAGAGAACGACTACAGGAGCAGTTTGGTAACAACGATACTGCTTCTGTCTGGAGGGGCCTACGGGAGATCACCAACTACAAACCCAAAGCCCCCCCCTGTGCTGATGACCACAAGCTAGCTGGACGATCTGAACTTATTTTTCAGTCGCTTTGATGCTGCCCCTGACACCTCTCCCTCCCCCACCCCCCACTACTCTAACGACCCACCCATCAGCCCTGCCCCCAGCCTAACAATAGCCGCTAAAGAGATTAAACAACTCTTCCTGAGGCTGCACCCCCGCAAAGCTCCTGGCCCGGACCACGTGTCTCCGGCCACTCTGAGACACTGCGCCAGTGAGCTTACTCCTGTGTTCACTGACATTTTCAACACCTCTCTGCAGTCCTGCCATGTACCGGCCTGCTTCAAATCCTCCATCATTGTCCCCGTCCCGAAGAAGCCCAGGATCACAGGACTCAATGACTACAGACCTGTAGCACTTACGTCTGTCGTCATGAAGTCATTTGAACGCCTGGTTCTCTCCCATCTCAAGTCCCTCACCTCCCCCCTCCTGGACCCCCTGCAGTTCGCCTACAGAGCCAATAGATCTGTAGACGACGCCATTAACCTGGCCCTCCACCACATCCTACAGCACCTGGACTCCCCGGGGACCTACGCCAGGGTCCTGTTCGTGGACTTCAGCTCTGCCTTCAACACAATCCTGCCATCCCTGCTCCAGGACAAGCTCTCCCAGCTCAACGTGCCCGATTCCACCTGCAGGTGGATCACTGACTTCCTGACGGACAGGAAGCAGCGAGTGCGTCTGGGGAAGAATGTCTCGGACTCTCGGATTATAAATACAGGAGCCCCACAGGGCTGTGTTCTTTCTCCCCTGCTCTTCTCCCTGTACACCAACCACTGCACCTCCAGCCACGACTCCGTGAAGCTGATCAAGTTCGCGGACGACACCACCCTCATTGGACTCATCTCCAACAACGATGAGTCCGCCTACAGGAGGGAGGTGGACCGGCTGGTGTCCTGGTGCAGTGGTAACAACCTGGAGCTGAACGCCCAGAAGACAGTGGAGATGATTGTGAACTTCAGGAAGAGCACTGTCCCCCCCGCCCCCACCCTCCGTGATGGACTCCCCCATCACCTCTGTGGAGTCCTTCCGTTTCCTGGGCACCACCATCACCCAGGACCTCAAGTGGGAGCCGACCATCAGCTCCTCATCAAGAAGGCCCAGCAGAGGATGTACTTCCTGCGGCAGCTCAGGATAGCCAAGCTGCCTGCACAGATGTTGGTGCAGTTCTACACGGCCATCATCGAGTCCATCCTCACCTCCTCCATCACCGTGTGGTTCGCTGGAGCCACAGTCAGGGACAAACAGAGACTACAGCGCATTGTGCGCTCTGCAGAGGAAGTGATCGGCCGCAGCCTTCCATCGCTGCAGGACCTGTACGTCGCCCGAGCTCGAGGCCGGGCTGGTCGTATCACAGCCGACCCCTCTCACCCTGCACATGGACTATTCCAACCACTCCCCTCAGGCAGGAGGCTGCGGTCCATCAGGACTAGAACCTCCCGCCACAAGAACAGTTTCTTCCCCTCTGCTGTTGGACTCTTGAACACTTCTTAACCTGTCCCCCCGCCCTTTATAAAGTCACTTTACTGCCCATCATACGTCACTTTACTTCACTGTACTGCTGTCACCTTACATTGTGTGCACCATGTGCACTTGTATATTGTAAATAGTAACTGTAACTCTATTTTAAATTTAAATTTATTCTTTAGAAGTGTTTTTTATTCTTATTTTTATTATCTCTTTTTGACTGTTGCACTGAGCCAAAGCAATTTCCAAGTCTGTGACCTCCCGTTACTTACGTTGGCAATAAAAATGATTCTGATTCTGATTCTTCTGATTCTGATTGTAGTTAGTTGTGGGTACGGGCAGGTTGTAGTTTGGGATTGGCAAAAAATTCAATAGTAAAGTATTCCGGTCTGGTTGCTAAACATTCCGGAGAAAGAGGAATGTTTAGCAAATGTAATCACTGGCAAAAACTGTGGCGCTACTCCCCAAGGGCTTTGTTAGCGGCAAAGGAGATGGCTAAAGCTAGGCTAAATGCTAAATGCTGTTAACAACTCACTCGGCTGCATTACATACATGACGTTAAACTCAAATCTAATGGTTTCAAGGAGTTAACCCCTCCCACCTGTTCACGGAGTCAATGGAGCAAATCCAGACCTTAGTACGAAATGTAATTTGTACTATGGTGTGGTACGACCAGGCTAGGAGTGGACTGGACGAGGGTGACATCACCATAGTGTTAGCATTAATGTGGAAGAAGAATATTTGAACATACAGTAAGCTAGCTGGAGCCAATTTCCTTATAAGGGCATTTACTCCGACAGTGTTAGCTTCACGCCGTAGCAGAGGCAGATGTGTTGCTAAGACGGTTGCTAAGGAAATTTATAGTTTCCCCAATAATGAGGGCATTTGATTGGTCAATCCTCACATGGCTCATATCTGGATTTACAAAACAATATCAAGATAAAAACACTAGGATCAAATAGAAAGCGCTAAACCACATATTTAAGCTAAAGCTAGAGATTTTATACTAACTTCTTTATTATGCTGAAACTAGAGGTTTTATTTTGTTTTACTATAGAGTTATTGTGCATTTATCTTGTGTTGTGTGCTCCTCATTCCTACTGTCCTTTAACTAGAAATACAACACTGACATTTCCCCACTGTGGGACAAATAAAGAAACTCAATCTGAATCTTAAAGTGCTGTATTTCAGAAGCAAAGACCCTCAGTGTCTCGACTTGTGAAAACCTGCTCTTGGCTGTTTGTTTGCATCACACACACAGTGATAGCAGTACAGTTGTGTGTTCTTTAGTGTGCAATGTTGTGTTGCATGTGTGTATCTCTGTGCCACACCTGCCAGGTCATCTCTGAGGTTCATCCACTGGCCCCATGTTTATTTCTTTTGACACATCTGCTCAAACAGGACCGTTCGAGGAGACGGGTCGGTGTTTGTTGACCGTGGCTTTGGCCGGAGCTGCCTCAGAGTTGAGTTTCCTCCCCCCCGTGGCCTTGAGGGCCGCGGTACCACAACAGCTCCCTCATGAGGGCTTTGAGCGGTCCCAAACAAGAGTGCCCCATGTGGCTCTGCTCACCGCGGGGGGCGCATGCTATAGCCGGGAGTTCACTGACTACAAGGAATGGGCTCTGCTTGGGCTGGTGCAGGAACTGCTCTGAGCCGGACGCTGTTCAAGCTGCTTTTACAGAAACAAGACTTAAACAAATGGAAGAAAGTGAGAAAAATATGACAGTAATTGGTGGACTATAAGCCGCTGCTTCTCACAACGTCTATAAACTTCTTACATTTTTTCTAAACTTCTATAAACTTCTTTAAACTTCACCAAACTTCACTGTGATTGTTGTTTGATGAATACTCACAGTGCATTAAAAAGAGTTAAGCTAAACAGAAGTGTTTTAACCTGGATCAGAAGCCTGTCTCACATTTTCAGGCAGACTTTGACTGCATGAATCTTTAATGCTGCCTCATGTTTAGTACTGACTCTGGGGCCAGTCCCTGTGCTCCTCAGAGTCCCAGCAGGAGGAGGCCAGTCCCTGTGCTCCTCAGAGTCCCAGCAGGAGGAGGCCAGTCCCTGTGCTCCTCAGAGTCCCATGGAGAAACTCGTACACAAGTATTTAAAATAATTGTTTTGTATTATTTTCTGTACAAAATGAGTTCCGTTTGTTTAGACTGAACCAAAAGGAGAAGAAGGCAGTGGACTGATGTTTATTTTCCAAATGTAGCTAATTACATGTTTGGTTCAACAAGTAGAATAATGTAAATTACACGGTTGTTTTCTTGAGAGACGTACAGTAGCTTTAAATTGAGGTATAACGTACGATGCTAACTCATATTCACATTGGATTAATGCTGCAAATCATCCATCCATCTTCCTCCCCTTAATCCATTTCTGGGTCGGGGGGGTGGCAGTCAGAGCTGCACCCAATTCACTTAGCACCAGCCCCTCACTGATCCTCTGCAGGTGGTGAGTCCACAGGAGGACGGCTGCTCTGTCAGTGACAATACGGCCTTGATTTTTCTGCGGGGGCTTCAGGCAATGCAGGGTTAAGTGTCTTGCCCAAGGACACGACGACAGCAGTCATCAGTGGGAGTCGGTGGAGAAGGTCCCGTGGTGGGCTTGAACCTACAACCTTCAGGCTCAAAGGCCAGTGCTCTACCAACTGAGCTAGTTGATCTGATCAGTCTTCTCCTTGTTTGAGATGAAAGTTTGGAGGGACGGCCGGGTCTTGGTAGATTTGCAGTGGTCTGATACTCCTTCCATTTCAATATAATTGCTTGCACAGTGCTCCTTGAGATGTTTAAAGCTTGGGAAATCTTTTTGTATCCAAATCCGGCTTTAAACTTCTCCACAACAGTATCTCGGACCTGCCTGGTGTGTTCCTTTGTCTTCATGGTTCTCTCTGCGCTTTAAACAGAACCCTGAGACTATCAAAGAGCAGGTGCATTTATACGGAGACTTGATTACACACAGGAGCATTCTATTTATCATCATCAGTCATTTAGGACAACATTGGATCATTCAAAGATCCTCACTGAACTTCTGGACTGAGTTTGCTGCACTTAAAGTAAAGGGGGCCGAATAATATTGCACGCCCCACTTTTCAGTTTTTTATTTGTTAAAAAAGTTTAAATTGTCCAATAAATTTCGTTCCACTTCACGATTGTGTCCCACTTGTTGTTGATTCATGACAAAAAATAATTTTTTTATATCTTTAAGTTTGAAGCATGAAATGTGGCGAAATGTTGAAAGGTTGAAGGGGGCCGATTACTTTCGCAAGGCACTGTAGGTAGCTCCTTCAGCTCTGTGCACATTTAAAAACATGTCTCCTGAATAAATACGATTAAAGTTGGGTTTTCCTGAAGTCGTGGGGCTGTCGTCTCTCCTGCTCTCAGGGCGTGTGCAGTTTACTCATCTGCTCAGACTCTGGACAATCAGAGGAAGCAGGCGGCGCTGGAGCAGGAAGGACAGCGCTCTCAGCTTCCCCCGTTTCTCAGTGGAAACACACGCCCAGGTGGGGTCCAGGTCACACCTTGCAATAACATCTCCAGGACTCGCATCTATGTGTGTTTACAGTTGTATCATTGGAAGGGTAGTAAAAGATGTACATGGAACTTGGTGTTGGGTTGATAAGAAACAAAAATGAAAAGTTGAACTAAACAGAAAAGTGTGGGAAAGTTTGAGCTGTGATTTGAAGTTCTGAAGTGGTTCCCTGTTCCAGGTTTGTTGTGGGAGAGAACTCCAGACAATGAGGGCAGCTGCAGCAAACGCTCGGTCCTCAGGGTTCAGAAGACTCGGTCCTCAGGGTTCAGAAGACTCGGTCCTCAGGGTTCAGAAGGCTCGGTCCTCAGGGTTCAGAAGACTCGGTCCTCAGGGTTCAGAAGACTTGGTTCTAAAGGTGCTTTCACACAGCCAACGCTGAAACGCTGAAGCGCACCAGACGCACATTCTCTAATTTTCAGACGCAGGGGTGTTCAGACCAGAAGTCCTGGTGGCGAGCGCCGGAAGTGGCGGAAGTGGCGGAAGTAGCGGGCAGACTTTGATGCTAACATAGTTAAGCTAGTGGCTTTTTGTGTAAAGTTCTTCTCCAATAATGCAGCTTTGCAGCGTGTCTGTGTCTGAGACTTTATATAACAGCAGTATGTGTTCATGGAGGTGCGCAATACGTTTATTTTATTATTAAATGGTCTTCCGCATTGGCGAACACACTCGAAGCAGTTGCATAAAGTCACGGGAGCATGACAACGCATATGTTAACAAGCACAGAGTCCCCCATTGTCAACCCTGGTTTAGTCCTGGTTTAGTCCTGCTTTAGTCTTGGTTTAGTCCTGGTGTAGCTCCTGTTTTGGTTGTTTACAGTATGTTCAGTCTGCTCGCTCAGACCGCTACTGTCCCCGTGACGACTTTGCGGCTCTCTGATTGGTCGCTGCACGAGCGTCCGAGGAAACACTCAGCAATATTTATCCCCTGCGTGCGTCAATTTTCTGCTCCTTTGCCGCGCAGTCCGTGCGTCTCTACTGTTCATGCGCATATCCCGAGACGCACATGCAGTCTGACGCTTGAATGCGCGTCACCATTGACTTTGCATTGAAAGTCGACGCAGCATGATCCGGTCTGAACGCGGCATAAGGGTTCAGAAGGCTCGGTCCTCAGGGTTCAGAAGGCTCGGTCCTCAGGGTTCAGAAGGTTCGGTCCTCAGGGTTCAGAAGGCTCGGTCCTCAGGGTTCAGAAGGTTCGGTCCTCAGGGTTCAGAAGGCTCGGTCCTCAGGGTTCAGAAGGCTCGGTCCTCAGGGTTCAGAAGGTTCGGTCCTCAGGGTTCAGAAGGCTCGGTCCTCAGGGTTCAGAAGGTTCGGTCTTCAGGGTTCAGAAGGCTCGGTCCTCAGGGTTCAGAAGGCTCGGTCCTCAGGGTTCAGAAGGTTCGGTCCTCAGGGTTCAGAAGACTCGGTCCTCGGGGTTCAGACTCGGTCCTCTGGGTTCAGAAGGCTCGGTCCTCTGGGTTCAGACTCGGTCCTCAGGGAACAGTGGCTTCTATGTGTTTTTCATTATTGCATTTCCTGTGTTCAAACTATTTGATTCTCTTTGTTGTTGAATCGACAACTTTTAAAGTCCTCTGAGAAAACAGCTTTAGTGATTTAGGTCAAAACACAAATGGTTTTGGAATCCCTGTCCTAGAGCCACACACTTCAGGTCTGTTCTGTAATAAAGAATGAATGTTGTGTAGGCCATACATCTGGATCAAAGAAGAGCGTTGCAGGCCGTGTTCATGATACAGAATTCCAAAGTGATGTTTGGCTGAGCTGGCCGACCCGCTGCCCTCGCCCCATCTCCTGTTGACCCACATCTGTTATGAAAGGCCTGAGGTGGAGGCTGTTCTCACCAGTATTACCTCTGAACATTTCTCAGAAGGACAAATATTCTTCTTTGTGGGAGTTGTGTTTGACTTTAATCTCCTGTAACCTCCAGTGTGTCCTGCTGGCAGTGGGCCAGTCTCTCTTTCCCACCGGCACCGACAGCAGCAGCAGCAGCAGCAGCAGCAGCAGCAGCAGCAGCAGACCTACAACAGTGTGATTGGTTGATTGAATTATTTTTTATTGCCAATGTTAGTAACAGAAAGTCATAAACAAGGAATTTGCTTTGGCTCAAAGTGCAAACAGTTTGTAGGAGAAAAAAGGTAAAAGCATTAATGCAAATATCAATCAATCAATCAATCAAAGTTTATTTGTAGAGCGCCTTTCATACAAATATATTTATCCTTATATGACTACTATATAAATATATATTTATATATATATATACACATGTACAATTCAATCCAATGTATTCTTGTATCGCCTTAAATCACAACACTAGTTATCTCGGAGGTCTTCACAAAAACAATTAAAACACAAGAAATGCAATTAAATAATAATAAATTAGTAATAATAAAAATAATTAGAAAAACACATAGAGCCATTAAAACAGCTGCTACTTCAAGGATTTCACTTAATGCGGGTTATTTTTTGAAACACATCACCCCTGAAATAAACTAGAGACGACTGAAGTTCTAGATGGAAGAAAATGTTTTGTTTCCTTTCTAAGGTCTAGTGTTCCTCTCTCCATGTGAGCGGAGGGAGCAGCCACTTCCTGTGACATCACTGCTTTGGACACTTTTGACACGGTCGGCACTGGATCATGTACGGGATCGGGACGAAAGCGGAAGTAACAATCCTACTTTTTAATTATTTTTAGACTAATAAGTCCATAAGTGGTGTCGGGTTAGTTTTAGGTGTCTGAGTAAGATGGTTAAGGTTAGGGTTAAGGTGGTCTGAGTAAGATGGTTAAGGTTAGGGTTAAGGTGGTCTGAGTAAGATGGTTATGGTTAGGGTTAAGGTGGTCTGAGTAAGATGGTTAAGGTTAGGGTTAAGGTGGTCTGAGTAAGATGGTTAAGGTTAGGGTTAAGGTGGTCTGAGTAAGATGGTTAAGGTTAGGGTTAAGGTGGTCTGAGTAAGATGGTTATGGTTAGGGTTAAGGTGGGTCTGAGTAAGATGGTTAAGGTTAGAGTTAAGGTGGTCTGAGTAAGATGGTTAAGGTTAGGGTTAAGGTGGTCTGAGTAAGATGGTTAAGGTTAGGGTTAAGGTGGTCTGAGTAAGATAGTTAAGGTTAGGGTTAAGGTGGTCTGAG